TGTACATTAAGATAAACAACATAACTATGTAATTAAGTCAAAGAGCCTTAGAAATACAGGGCTCAGGTTTTCAAAAGGCACAGTCAGTGTGTGACCTTGTGAGACCACCTAATCCTGGGCAGCCCGGCCTCGTCAGCACTAGCACTGGATGCTCACTGAGAGCCTCCTTGTAGGAAATGTTGATACAGCAATTCCAAATGCTGAACTGCTGACATGAAGAGAACTGTATGATGCAGGCTGTTGTGTAGATGTGCAAACAGCAGTTTCATGTTTAAGCCACAGCACACACAGAGATGGAGTGGGAAGAGCCCACAAGCTAGAACACGACGAGGTGATTCCTATCCATCTTCAGGGAGAAAAAGGAGGGAGGCTGCCCAGAGATCACCCATGGCTGACTGGTCAACCCATGGACCTTAGGGATAAAATCCAGCCTCCCACCCTACCTCAAAGAAACATCAGGAACACTGAGTAAGAAAGGAATGTTAAATCATCCCTAGGTATCTTATTCAATGTGGTTTTTTTCCTTAAGACTGTACAGTCTTCTTAATTCATAGCCAACACAAAGGAGAACAATTTTCTGTAGACAAGCTTTAAGGGTAACAGACACTCTTCTTTCCTTCTACCTGCAAGAGAGTATCATTCTTGTTGCTTTCATTTCAATGCTATTCAGTTTGTTTACAACTCCCAAAATGCTACAGTCATTTGAGGCTTCACCAGCATTCAGGTTTTCTCTTGAAATAGTCCATGAAGTTGTTTACTGCTTTTACAATCCTATCACTTTTAAGACATCTGTAACTTCTGACTTGACAAAAAAGGTCTGTCTTGTCCTGTTTCTCAAATTTATCAAGATCATTTTCAATTGTGAGCATGTCCTTTAAAGCATCTACAACTGTTCCCAGCTCAGTATTAATAAAAATTCAGATGGTTTAATCAGTTTTAAGACCTCCTTCACTCACTGGATATATATATATATTTTTTTACAGTAAGATGACTGACATCATATTTATCAGATTCAAAACAAACAACTTGACTGATTCATAGCTCCTGACTATCATTTATTATGTACAGTAGGGGAGAAAAGAACTGTATCAGTGGAATATAAATGTAATCATATCGTGGTGTGGAACCACAACGTGCTTTCATTAACACTGATGCACAAGAAAAGCTGCAACCCTGCATTCCTACTAAATACATCTGGAGATTATCACAAACCATCTTTTCAAGTTTTAGCCTCCATTTCAAATGATTTTAAAATGACACAATACAAAAGTGACAGTCTAAATGCTTGAGTTTTTTAATGATGAAATCCATTTAAAATGTTTTAGAGCATGTTCCAGCACACTTAGGGAACTCCATACACAGTTTAAACACACTCTAAAGCCATCAAAAATTGTAAGAGTTCTGCAACTTCAACTCATTATCAGATATTTCCTTTGCCATCTTCAATTATTCTACAAGTTAATGGTTTAGATGAGTGATAACTTCTCTTCAGAATTATTCAGACATTTACCACAGTTCATATCTTCTTGCTTATGTTCCTCCATAGTCAAAGGTCTTCAGAGTTGTGTAAAATAATTACAAGCTTTTCAAAATACACAAATCAAAACAGAGTAATTTTGAATTTTAAGATAACTTCAAATGCTGTACCTTAACACACTTCTCCACAAATTGAATAATTGTGAGAGGTCCTCTCACTGAAGCCCAGGTATTTTAGAGAACTTTGCAGACCAGAATCAATCTCCTGGTATCAAACAGCCTATGAATCCAGAATATACTCCTAGAAGTGATTTTCTCTCTTGCTATTTTTGTAGCTTAAATATATCTATAAAATAGTTAATGTGCTTAGGAGTATTATCCTTCTTGTTCTGCTCTCACCAACTAATGAGATTAGTTGTGTGTCCATGTATGAGTGTTCCTTTTTTCTCTTAATACATATGAACTGCTTTATGTCACTGTAGACAATAGTGTTTTCTTTTCCACATGAATATACTTGACTGAATACTCTTAAAGGATTCATTTTCCAGTTTCTCCTTTCTTCTGGCCTTTCTTAAACTAGGCCTGAGCTCCAAATATGAGCAAATTACACTGGAGACCACCTCACTTGATACAAACATTCTACATGGAGCCAAAGGTCTCTTCTGTAATGACAGCTCAGTCAGATTATTTAACAAACCACACAGAAAAATTAGGAATCATAATTAAAAAGAGATAAGGCAAGTACAGTTCAATCCATCTCAATTGATGGGGCTTTGCTGTACCACAACCTTTTAGAAGGAAAAGTGATAAAGACCACAAGCAATAGAGAATTACCACAATTGCATATTATCCAAATGTGAATTTGTCAGATGTGGTCCCAGAGAACCCAATCTTTCTCTCACCTCATGGAGGCAGCCAGAGCTACTAAATGGGTTTTTTTGTCTTTCAAGGTACCTGTCCATTTCTGCACACAGGCACCCACGTTAATAACCTGGTAGCAGCACCTTAGGTAACCAGTTATTCTCCTATCACACCATACAGAAACAATTGTGTATTCTGGATTCTGTGATGAAAATTAAAAAATCCAGTTTCTAAAAGTCCTACATTACTGCACATAACCCTTTGGATTTGGGAAAAAATATGTCTGGGAAGATGCTGGCTCCCTACTTTGTCTGTATTTTGTTATCTCCTTCAAATGAAGACACTTTAGTCCATTTCTCTATTGAAACCTTTTTTGTATTTTGACTGCCAAAAATGCAGGTATTTGCTCAGTATTTGCAATTAGAACTGCTGCTGCAAATAAATTAATCTTTTTAGAATACTTAAGCAGATGGTTTTCCATCCTTTGAAGAAGTCATGTAATTGAACCTGACTGCCTGCAAAAGCAGTAACAACTATCACTGAAAGAGTGGGACAGATAATGTAGATTCTTACCCTGTAAGCAGCTCTGCCAATAAATTAACACTGGCCTCCAATTCTCATCCTACAAGTCCAGAACTCATTTTTACTTATGCACAACTACTGATCTCCTGAGTTACAGGTAATTCTTATGGGCAAATGAAATCCAGGAAAAAGCCCTGAAGATATTTATTGGTTTTGAACTTGTTACACTAGGTACCTACATGTCACTTCCAGGCGAAAATCAAGTACACTGATTGATTATTCAGCTAATCCAAAAGGAGGTATTGGTAATTATGTACTCAAAAAAACCCCAAAAACAGGCCAGCCACAGCCACAAGCTATCATAATACATGGCTTGTGGCTATCCCACTCCCAGCTACATAACCCATTACACATCTTTTCATTTGTAACTCAGCACTTATGCAAGCACCAACCAAACCAGGCCACCCTGCCCAGTTCTTTTCCAAACACGGTGAGAGAAGATGCACATGAACAGCCTGCAACTCCCAAAAGAATCAAAGATCAGTCCAGATGTTCAATGGAAGATATGTCAAATAAACCAGTACCATTCCAAATTTAGCTGAACTGAATTAGCTGAAGACTGGCCATTATCTAGCTAAATACCAAATTAAGTTACAATCTTTTTTTCAACAATTTGGTCTCAGATATTAAAATTTCAATTAAGATGTTGTCAAATTCACACTATTTGAAGGCTCTTGTGAAATAATCATATTTAACTCTGTATAGCAAGCTAATGACATCAGTGCCAGCAGGGCAGCAATCTGCTGCACCCACAAGAGAAAGGAAGCACTCCCATCCTACCATCTCTCAGATGACACACAAAAACCCTAGACCTAGAAGGACACATATTATTCCTTCAAAAACAAAACAAATGAAAAGATAAGCCAAAAAGTCAAACTATCCAAACCCAACAGAATTGACACAGAGGCTGGAGAGCAGTAAGACTGCCTTTTTGAATACCTACCCTGTCCAATTGGCCCACAAAATTAATTTCTGAATCAATTCAATGGCTTAACTAGAGCTGTGCTTAACACTGGATTTTGTCCTTTTATGAGATGAAGTAGGAAAAAAGATAGAGCTCCTTTCACAACAAGTACACATATATGTTACCTGCTGTCAGTCTCAATGACATAACTATGACTGACATCTGTTCTAAATCTCCTCTTTTGCCTTAATAAAAGCTGTAATACAGAAACACAAATGAACTGGCAGCATGGCAAATACCAGTGTCAACAAGTGTACTTCCTTTATGGACAAGCCATGCAGCTACATGTTAGCTGTTGCAGAGGAAAAGGTGCTTTTGTTTAATTCCTAAGCTGATAGAGATCCATTCTGGTGCTGTTTTACATTGTGCAGGAAGAAGCAGTAGTTACAAATTCCAGTAAATGAAGTTCTGCCAAGACAGATGATCCTTCCTTCCTATGTTATAGAACAATCACAATTTCAATACGTGGGCTGAACAACAATCAGTATAGCACCATAGCTTTTGTTTTATATACAACTATGATCTCCCTAAGAAAATAAACTGCAAGTTTATTGTACTTGCAAACCTGGCTTGTCTATGTTTAGTTCTGACTTCATTATGAACAAGCACAGTACAAAATCTACCATGCACAAGAGCACTTTAATAAAAGGATATGGCCCACAGGGAAGAAGATTCCAAGATACAGAACAAGATTCTAGACTGTTAAAATGGACCACGTTTCCATACTGAAGATAAGCCCATCATCTGACTGTAGTAAACATGCACAAGCCACAGTATGGCTCCCTTGGGGAGGGTTTCATGATTCCCAACAAGATCCCTTACAAAGGACTCAGGAAAACCCAAAACAAATAAAAAACACCAAACAGAAAGAGCTAATGCACAGGGGAAAAAAAAAAAAAAGAAACCCAGCACCTGCATTACATACTACAAAGAAAAAGTTGCAGAGAAAGAGGCAAGTCTGTTCATTAACCTGTATATTTTAATTCAGAAAACCTTTTTCCAAAGGAGAAAGGGGTAGGAGGTTGCAGATTTTCCATATTCAGTTAACTAGGAGCAGCAAACTCCCTCCCTTTGTCCCTCCCCTACAACTACTAGCTTCACACATCTGCATTGTTACCTTCACTTTTTCTCTTCTCAGGCAGCAGAAAAGACAATTTTCATCAAAAGACCAATCAGAAACACCTTCAGGCTCACAGTCTGTAAATCAGAAGAATAGCAAATTACTTCATATTCATAAACCACAACACAACTGGAGCCAAAAGAGAAATGCTGAATTAAATACCTGTTTCACAACATTCTTGCCCGCTTTCTGAGGATTCAGGCTTCATTTCGGCCATTTTTCTAAATCCCCAGATTACCAACCTATATACATTTTATCTATGCACAACAAATCTGTTTTTCTGAGCACTGCAAAATACACTCCCAGCTACATAAAGATGAACGCACACTCATTAGTAATTTTAGCCAATATGAAACTAACTGTGAGCACTGCCTGGGGGAGGGGGAAAAAAAAGCACAAATCACCACGGTAACACACATTTTCTAGAGGCAGAGCTGAGGCTGCTTCTGTCATTAGAAATGCAGAACAAGATACAAACATAGAGATTGAATACCTTTAAACAAACTGAGATCTTTTAATAATCCAGGTCCAAACAGGCCTTCTAGAATACTTTCAAACCCTAAAAGCAAATAAAAGAATTGTTAGCTTTCTAGATTGGTACGTCACTACAATATTCACAATAGCAGTTCTATATTTATCTGTTCCAAGAACAGAGCTCAACACGTTTTCTCCAAGTATTACAAGATACACGGGTCAATTGTGATGACTGAACTACCGATAAATCATAGCACAATCTAGAGTCCACTGACTCCTGTACTTTTCTAAGTAGCTAGGTTAAAAACAAAGAACATTACAACATTGAAATAAACCATTTTGAAAAGAAAATAGGAAGCTGCAGGTTCTACAACACAACGGAGTAATTTCTACACAAATAAAAATACTCTTATTTAAGCCTCCGAACTGAAAGAAGGTACATTTTCCCAATTTAAAAAATACATTCTTCCATCTCAAGTAATTTCTACACAAACAAAAATACTCTTATTTAAGCCTCCAAACTGAAAGAAGGTATATTTTCCCAATTTAAAAAATACATTCTTCCATCTCAGTGGCATTCCGTTACTTTTCTGAATTTCAGTAAACATTAGAAGCAGTGTTTCCTCAAGACCTGCAGTTTTGAGGAGAGAAAATTAAAAGGCGAAGGATTCAGGGTTGCCATATCAGTAAGGAATGAAATTTCAATCACAGCTCTGCATCCAAGACACACACAGTCCGATTTACTTCAATGCCACCATTTACACCTCACTTAAAATAAATCTAACCAATCTGAGTTTATTCCAGAAGAGGAAAAACGTGCACCAAAATTACTGCCATTATTTGGAAAAGTTAAATCAATATTACACTAACCCCCTGCTGGCAGTAAAAAATCTACAGAGCTATTAACTACCCAGTACTGTGAGAAGATGGGTTAGCAGAGTGAGGATGAAAAGTACAAAGATTACTTTAAGGGTGATAGACAAATTCCACCTTATAAAAATGTAATGATCAGAAAAATTCAAGACTATAACTTACTATATTGCCTGCCCTTCCCTCCCCTCCCCCCTCCAATACTTTTTTGCTTTGTGGCTTTAACAATGGTTTGCAAGCAGCTAGGGGCTTCTAGCTTCTCCTACTTCCTTGAGTCTTTGAGTGGCAGAAGAGGAAACAAAAATCAAATTAAGAAAGAAAAATATGGTCTTAAGTTTAGAGAAACTTGCATGGGTGAATCAGGGACACATAAACTACCCAAAATAGCAATGTTTAAGATATCAGTCAAAATCTAAATAGTCATGTACTATGAAGGAAATAGTTTATTACAATTCAAAAGAGCAGTAATTCTAAAATAATTCTGACTTCATCCAGATCTAGTATCTAAGTTATGTTTTGGAGAGCAGTGTTCAAAAGGAAATGACAAATAGTGTTTTACCCCTCTGGGTGTCAGCAAGAGTGTCAGTGCACCAGCATCTTCAGTGATCAGATTCAGGATGCTACAGAATTTGCAGGGTGCACCATGACTTAGATGGCAAAAGCATTGCTGAGGTACAACACTCAAAATATCATCTCAGAAAGGACCAAGAACCAAAAAAAACCCAAAAAAAAAAAAAAAACCAAACCAAAAAAAACCCCGTCAAATAACAGTCAAGAGTAAAGAGAAATAGGGAGAAATCAGAAAACAAGGTGGAAGAGGAGAAACTGGAAACACATCCCATTGAACAGCACCTTGTCAGGCAGAGAAGTAGCACTGCCTCCAAAAAAAGCCAATTCAGGCTTCAGGAAGTGGCAGGAACAGTGGGAAAGGGCCGACCAACCTGACCTAGAAGAAAAATAGGAGAATCAGGGTATTGACCCATAGGTTTATAACGTTGAATAGTTTATAACGTTTTTAACATATGGGTAGAGACCCTCAGAATTTGATTCTGAAATGAAACCTTAAGGAAAATAGCTAACCAACCTCGTTCTTGATCTTTTTGTTTAAAACTTGTATTTTATATGTATATATATATATATTAAAAAAAATAAAAAAACTTCAGAAATTTTACTCAAACTCATCAATCTTTTAATAGTAACTGCCAGTGACTCATGCCCCACAGTTTGCCATGCATGCAATTGCACACTGAAGTCCCTGCCAAGTTTTACAGCTTGGATATTGTACGACCATAGTTTGCTAGCCCACTGTTCTGAGTGATGCTAATGCCACTCGGGTTTTATTAATATTAAATATTGGATTTAGCAGTTGCATAGCAACAGCAGAACATCTTATGTGCAATGTTTGACATTAAAAAAGGCAAATAAGGGAAGTATGAATGTATTCAAAAATTATACTAGAGACTGGTAAAACTGCCATAAAGCTGAGCCCTATTCCCCCCAAATGCAAAGTGCAATGCAGCAAAGGCAGTTTAAGCCCTGTGATGTTGTGTTCACTCATTCAGGGCTCCAAAAGAGCAACTGTGTACAGTTAATCATGCAGAATACATTGAAAACAAAATCTTGAAAAAGGAGCTGCCTACTTTTTATAGTATTTTTTCTCTCCATTGTCACTGCTCTTAGAAGCTTGAAAAGAACATTTCTTTTCCCACCGATTGTCCTTTTCCATTTGGCAGATGATATTTTCCTGCATTTCAAATGGAACAGAAATTAACATGGCTCCCTCTGCTAAATTCCAGTTTCTATATTGTCATCATCTGTATTTCAGTGTCTGATAGTTCATAGCAGCTGAAGAGCAGAGCCAGTGGAAAAGTTGCAGGAATAACAGAATTAAAGAAAGAAAAAGAAAGCGAATTCCAGTATTTTAGAAATCAGTATTAGATTTTCAATATCACTTGTATTTACAACTCTGATATGCTCTTCACAAACAAAGCAGCCACATATTTAACTCTCACAAATGTTACTGGTGACCTCTCCAATGAAAAACATTTTCTGGATGTTAGTATAAGAATTTAGAAAAAAATATTTTAATTTTAAAAAGCCCCTGAATTTATAAAGTATAAAACATCTCTCTTTTCCAGAAGGCTCTCTAGGAAGTGAAGAATTAGAAAAAATAAACCCCAGAACAAAGAAAGAAAACCCTTAGTACTGAAGCAAGGGTGGAACTTTTTAAATGCAGAGTTGTTACACACTTATTCCAATTTCACAACAGTTAAACTGTAAACAAGTAAAGCCTCCCCTAAAACACCCTCTGGTAAAAATCAGAATACATATGTGCCATTTTTCTGATAAGGGTAGCAAGGAAAGAAATTAAAACTGAAGAGAAGAGGGGAAAAAAAAAGGTTGACTATGTAGTCTTCAGCATTATCAATTTTCACTGGTTTTGTCTCTGCACCTAAACAGTTTTATTTTCATCTTTTCTTGGCATCTTTACCCATCTGTAAACAAATATTTTGTCATAGATTTAAACCCTAATTGTAGTTTGATGGCTAATGGTGTCAGACAACAATTTAACGTAACAGTTTAAGCTTTGCAAAGGGGGAAAAAAACAGGCAAAACAGTGAAGCCCTCATGTCATCTTCTCCCTTAAAACTGAGAGCCCTTGGGATCATTAAGTAGCCACCAGGCTCCTTGGGATAACAGTATGGAGTAATGCAGATGAGCCAAAGACATATTCTCTACTACAAAAACAGGAATGCAAGATCTTCAGAAACAGATAGGGATGCATTCTGGAGTGCCATTGACACAGAGCCTAGCGTGTCAAATAATGCTTTTTTCCCCCCTCAAGACAGCACAGCTCAAATACACCTTTGAATAGTCACTACATAATTCAGCCCTAGATATGTATCTAGTCAAAGCAGTAAAGCTTGACTGTAACTTACAGGTACAAATCACTTTGGGGGAAGTAAAAAACCACAGACTACTATTGCTCTGAATGCATTATTACATAAATTGTTAATAACTAAAAAAAAAAAATCAACATAGCAAGGGCAGAAAATTAAAATCAGCATACATAGCTGTCAACTCCTCAGCCCTTATCTGTGCATATCAATTTAATCAGTGAATATCAATTTATAAACTAAACCTCAACAGACTTAATGAGTACTACCAAGGCCAGCAGTTAAGTACAGGAGGTCATAGAACCAGAGAATCAGAATATCCAGAGTTGGAAGTGATCCACAAGGATCAAATCCAACTGCAATGGACCAGTTGCAATAGAAATTAAGACAAGTGATAAATCAGCATTTATTTATAATAAACAGCCAAATATATAGCAATTTGCATATTAAAAGGACAACTTCAAAAAGCTGGAAATTCAGTCAAGTCACTTAAGACATTAGTTGACTATATATTCTGTTTAAATTTCTTAACTATCTAAGAACGTATTAGAAATCATGAAACCCATGGGGGAGAAAACCTGACCTGCTAAATGGGGGGAAAAAAATTAAAAACCAACAAAACCCAAACCCAAGTGACTAGGAGTAAAAGCACAAAGAGGAGACAAGCAGTTGGATGATGGGCTGGAAGATTCAGAGTAGAGAAGATAAATCAAAACTCAGAAATGTTGCAAAAGTCAGAGAGGAGATGCAAACAGCTTTAAAGTAAGCAAAGATAAAATCAAAACCAAGGCACATACAGAATGGAATTTTTAGATAACATATGTAGGAATATGGTAGTTTATTACAAAACATTCAATAGAATGGCATCTAACCATTCAACAAAATCTATCAAGGTGGTGTTATAACATTTGTAAGTTAATTAATGCAACTTAATATTCAATGGACATGTGCTGGTTTTCTTTCTGTGAGTTACTCAGAGTATTTGCAGC